TATCCTTTAGAACAGCGGTTCCCAAATGGTGTTCTGCGGAGCCCTGAGGTTCCGTGGAAAGGTCCGGAGAGTTAGGATTTTTTTTAAAATCAGTTCTGATTTTCGAAATCTACAATTAAATTTATATCTGATTGATTACCCATTATTTTATATTTTTGAAATTATTTAATTAAAATGCTTGAAAAGAGAAAAAAAGAAAAAAAATTTTAATAATTTAAATATTTTAATTTAATAAAAATTTTAAAATATATATTGAATGAATAATAAGGACACATTTGTGAAGAATTGCATTAGTATTTCGTATAGAATAAAAAATAACCAAATTCAACAATGAAGAAATATATCTCTGTAATAATCATTCCCAACGTTTATTTTGGTTCTTTTTTGTCTTTATTTCAATGAAAAACAAATTTTAGCTCACTTATATTCAGTTAATGCATACACTTAAAATCATATTAAAAGACTATATACCACTTCAGACCTGTTAATTTAACGGTCTCACATAAATAGTACTGATAAAACGACACGATGAAAAAAATTTCATTTTTACTCATTCATTTAATGTATTCAAAATAATAAATAAAATTTATATCACAACACATTTTTATTTATTTATAAATTTAAGCACTTGAGTTCCGCTAATAGATGATTGATCATTTAGGATTCCATAGCCGAAGTAAATTGGTAACCACTGCTCTATAAAATTCTTTCCTTCGCTGTTGTATTGTTTCAAAGTTGAGTTTTTAATGCAATTGAATTATGAATGGTTTGATATTTATTCTAATAATTGAAAGTCGAATTGATAGAATTAATGTTTTATCTTTAAACCTTATCACTCAATGGTAGAACTATATTTAATGTTCTGCAAAAATGCTACCTGAAAAAAACTCTCACTAGTTAAATTATTACTATTTTTTGAAAGTGACAAATATTTTTAGTTTTTTAATCAAAATTTCAAAAACCTATTGGTTAAAACTATTTATACATTATGAACATTATGTATACCGACAAAACGATAAAAATTATTTTAAAGAGCATATAAAATTTTTAAATTTTCATCACGACGAAAGAACGTTTAATTACAGCATTAGTGAGATTGTATCAAAATAAATGTTAAAAAGGTGAGTGCATTGAGAATATTGTCACAACTTAAAATTTCATGAGCTTGAAGTTCTCTCTTCTCCTTCACACTAATATTATACGTGAACAATTGAAATCAAAATGTTTTTATTTAATACAGTGTATATTTAACAAATTTTAAATAAATAAATAAAATAAAAAAAATAAATAAAAATAAAGGATGCGAAAGGACAATTAAAATTAAATATTTCACTGCAAAACCGTTTCACTGCAAATATCCGTACTATGCAGGGAAGAAAAAAAACTCAATACTAGATATAAAAGACAAGTGCTCGTACACAAACTATAGGTTGATAATTAGAAAAACAGCCTTAAATAAAACAACACACACACATTTAGAAGAAAATTTTGAACTTCTATATGATTAGATTAATGAACACAGAAAAATAATATCCACGTACAATCAGAGGTGTTAATACCCAAGCATAATCAGAATGAAGATTTAACTAATTAAAAATAAATAAAATAAAAAATAATTACAATGAATAACATAATTACTTAATTATCACAATTAATAAAATTAGTTCATTAATAAATTTAAAAAACTTAACTAACTCCTCTGAACTTTCAATGATAAAACAGTTTCTTTACAAAGATCCGTACCATGGGGAGAGGGGAATGACTCATTACTAAATGTTAAAGACAAAATGCTTTTACATAAATTATTGATTAAAAGTTCAATAAGTAACTTAACATGAAATCCGAAGAAAATGTTTTTAAAAAAAACTTTTTTACTTCTCAACTATTACGAAAATTAACAAAAAAGTATGAATACAATATTAACATAAACCTCCTAAGAAAATGAAAAAAATAACAGTCATTAATATTCATGTGAATCTTTATTTTTGTGATCATTATTTTTTCACGAAAATTTTCCCGCGAGAAGATTATTTCAACTAAATATTTCCCTGTAAAACTGTTTCACTGCCAAGATCAGTACAATGCCGGGAAGCAAAGATACTTAAGGAGGGAAGGAAATATACATATAATAGGTAACAGACAGAACAAACGCTCACCGCGTGCAAAATATTCACAGATATTAAATTAATCATGAGAAAATATTTAAGATAAATATATCTTAATTATAAAAATTAAACATACGAGCAAAGAACACTCTTTTTTTATTTCGAATTAAAATAGTTAAATTTTGAAAATCACTTTGGCAAAAAAGTGATTAAAAAACAATTTTTTATTCAATTAAAACTTGCGTTTGAAAAGGAATTTTTCATCAGTGCAAAAATTTTCACAAAAAATTTTAGAATTAAAATAAATATTTAACATTATGTAAAATTTAATACAATTTTAGGGTGTTAAATTTTTAATACCAGTGATAAAAACAATTGAGATAGTAAACGGAGAAATTACAACAGAGCATCAATAACACTTTATATAAAAAATAAATAATAATATGAATTTTTTTTAAAAAACATATTTTCTTAGGTAAATGCTCGCAATTCGAAAATGAACAATTTTTACTCTTTACTATAAAAAATAAACATATGAGATTTGCTACTTTAATTAATATTTTCGATCACAAGTTTAATATCTTTGTTTGTTTGTTTTTTTTAAAATAATCCGAATTTTTCGTTTTAATTTTAAAAACACGTCCCTTTAATTACTTCTGCGACACCTTTTCTCTAGCTAGTAATAAAAAAGAAAAAAATTCAAGAATCACTTTTAATGATACTGTAAATCAAGATACGCGTATAACTCTCAAAATAAGAAAGTTGAAATAAATAGAGAGACAAAGCGGTACTGCGTTTCCTCACACAAATCCCACTCATCGATTTCTTACAAGACAACCGTTTTCTTCACTCCATTACACTTCCAAGGACTCATTCTCATTAAAAACATTCACTTAACACATGCAGTCAACTGACAAGAGGATTAATCCTGAAAGGGAAAACAACATTCACTCCAACAGAATGAAAAGGGAAAAACTAACGACTAAATGCCGCAGTCGTTAAGTGCAAGTGTCATACATGATGAATGAGTCCATGGAATCTATAGGATTTTTTTTTATATCGACTGTGTGTTTTTATTTTTAACTGGAAAGAAATGTCAGAGGATTTCAGAACAATTATAGGTCTATTAACAATTAATGTTGAAGCTAAATTAAATGCAAAAAAAAGTAGCAAGGTGATTTTAAATTAGAAAGAAAATTTGTTTCATTATTAAGGATACCAGAATTTCCGATACCATTTTTATAAGTTCGCCAAATAACGTTGATTAAAAATAATAGCAAGATAATCGGTATAAAATTTCTGCTCAGGGTTTATACAAAAACTGCGCAATCAGATTCCAATTTGAAGACAACAAGGAAAACGTTCTGCTAATACAATGTTCTACTAATACAGCTTATGACTTTAGTGTACCCTTTCTAAATTTTTCGTAAAGCTGTGTACCACTAATAAAAAAAATGAACGTATTTTTCTTTCTTGGTACAAAGTTTTTTAGATACTAACCAGCGATTCATATTCTATGTTCAAGATCAAAATTATATTTTATAAAAATAATCAAAATAAGTAGAATTTATTACAAACCTTTACTATAAAAAAAATGCACAAAAGTTAAAAATCACAACTGGCTGTTGACACCACTAATTATTAACTGTTAACTCTGCAAAAAATAGCTAATAGAAAAATACGTAATCGTAAATTTTTATGGCTAGCTTTGTTTTTAAATAAAAAAAAATTTAAATTTTCGCTTTTTGCAAGATATTTCGCATAAGAACGCGTACCCCCACTAAATTGTTCCCGTAGCCCTGGGGGTACGGGTACCAGGCTTTGGGAAACACTGTGCTAATAGATAAAAAGCTCTACAAAAATGAAGGGAATACAGATTGAAAATCGGGACATATAGAGAACTGTTTCGAAGCTATAGACCAGAGTTTCTTAAACTGTGGATTGCGAAAAAAGAAGAAATGATCGCAAAAACTTTTAACAGTTATGATATTTCCTTAACTTATTTTAGTCTTGCTGAATTATCAAATGATTCAGGATTAAAAATTGATTTTAATGCGAAATCCTTAGAAAATTTTTGTCCAGGAGTCACAAAAGACTTTCCAATGATTTCTGAAACTATTATTTGTCGTTGAAATTTATTTCAACGACATATTTGTGTATGATTTACAATTAAACTATTCTCTATTCTACACTAGTGTATTCTATTACTAACTTTATTTTACTATTAAATCTTTAAAAATTACGAAAATTAGGAAGTAATAATCATCTTCACGTAGTAGTAATTTACCTAGAAATAATCATCCCAGGATATAGAACGCTCTACAACAAAAGTTGTTAATAACATATTTCCTGTGAGCATTGTTAAAATATACAAACTCTAATTAAATAAAATACCTTATTTTTAACTAACAAGCTATTTTAATTTGTTAACAAAAAAAATTTCTTAAAAAAATTAACCTCACGTGGTTAAATTTTAAAATTATGTATTCATGTCTACATATGCAAGATAAATAATTTAAAGATATTTCCATCGAAACTAGTGCGCAAAAAGTTCTGTTCAAAACACCACAAGGACTTAGAATTCAAAATAAATAATTCAAAGATAATTCCATCTAGGTTCTGCAGAGACGTAGGCATAAAAAGTTCTGTTCAAAACACCAATAGTTCTACAAGGACTTAGAGTGCAAAATAAATAATTTAAAGATATTTCCATCGAGACTAGTGCAGAAAAAGTTTTGTTCAAAATACCAATAGTTTCTGCAAGCATTTAACTTTGAATGGGTAAACTAAAAACACTGAATTTATCATAAATAATTATTGCAGTTTAAAAATTCTACTTCTGCTTTTATATTTTGTGACAACAAATTTTAAATACAATTACTGATAGTAACTTACCGTTTAATGGTGACCTAGGTGGTTTCGTGTAGTCACTGTCTGAATCTAATTCAACGGTCAGTTGGTCATCGCCATTGCAGATACAGGGGCTTTTTCTAAAATGGGTAGTCTTCACATTTAAGGTGGGTACCACTGGAGGAGGTACCTTCTTAATCCCCTTCACCGAACTACTCCTCTGCACACCACCCACTATAAGAAAAAACAAACAAATGGTAAGTAAATTTAATAAAAGTTCCACAAAAAGAAAATTATCTTCTATGGTTAAAAACAGTTTAAAATTGAATTCAAATAAATCCAGATCTAGTTTATGCCTAAAATAAAAAATAATCTTTTTTTTTAAAAAAAAACATTAACTAATTGAATTACATTAGNTTTAAAAAAAAAAAAAAAAAATAAAGATATTCTAAAATTTATATTGAAATATTATACTTTCAACAAAGGGAAGTAGACTTAAAAGTGGTTAGATTTGTCCACATTAATGACTGATAGATTTTCATATTGCTTATAATAAGATTATAGTAAAATGATATAAGAGATAATTTTGAATGTAAAAATGAATAATTTAAATAAATAAATACTTTGAATACAAGAGAGAATAATATAAGCAGGGGTCTGTCTAAGTTTTTCTAAGAGGTACCTATTTTGTGAAAATTCGGACATAATTTGTGAAAAATTAAAAATTATATTAAAAAGTCAACACAAAAATATGCATTTATCGTTTCTTAAGGGATACAAAAATAAGATTTTAAGAAAAAGCATTTTGTGAAACTACCATTTTTCCTAAAGTTGAATTTGTGATGGTACCATTAAACGGTAGCAAATTCGGCCTGGGCAAGACCCCTGTAAGAGCTTCAGATTTGGAAGGAAAAAAATTATTGTTGCTAAATAAAATATGGTTAAAATTTTTTTAAATAAATCATGATCAAATAAATTAGACACCAACAAACTTACATTTAATAAATAATGAACACATAACCCGATTACAAAGGAATTTCCTTAAAACAGAAATAGAGATGTGTTTTCCTTTCAATAATAATAACCAATAATCCCTTTAACGAAAACCTAATTAAAATTTATGATCCTTTTAAACTCAGCGAGAATAAATTTTAAAGCAATTAAACCTTTTGCTCTAACACCCTTCAGGCGATAAAGCAATTTTTCAAATACAGCACAGCCCCTTGTAAACAGATACAGAAAACTCATTGACTGAGAAGGAACAATTGACCCGTAATGATCGGCTTGTCAGGAACAGGATAGATTATAATAAAACATTTTAGCTGAACAACGTCATAAAGGCAATTAATAAGCCAATAGACAAGAGTAATTTAAAAAACAAAAAATAATTGTATGTGGGAAACGCTATGCTTTTTTATCATGGAGTAATTACTTTTAAGGATTTATGATAAACATTTTATTAGTTAGTTATCATGACATTTTAGTTAAACAATACCATAAAGGCAATTAATAAACCAATAAAATAGACGCAGTGTTTTACTTAACAAAATAATTTATATACGGGAATAAAGAAATATTATGCTTTTCAGTTAAAAAATAATTATTATTTTCGATTTGTAATAAACATCTTTTTAGTTTATTATAATAAAGATTTTAGTTAGACAACACTATGATGGCAATTAATGAACCAACAGACAGTGTGCTTTACAAAATAAAATAAATTATACATAAGTATAAAAAAAAGGCTATGCTTTTTATTAAAGAGTAGTTAATTATTATTTTTGAATTTGTTTTTTAATAGAGAGCTGTTGTAATAAACAATGAATGAAAATCAGTATTAAAAACTATTTCGACATCTTAAAATTAACTATAAAATAGTGAAAGATAAAATGTTACTAAAAACAGATACAATATAAACTAACTGTACATTTTATTTATACCGATTTAAGAAAATAAACAGTACAATGAACATGTAAGACTCACAAAACTTGAAACATTCAATTAAATGTTTGGTTCGTAATAATCATTAATAACGCTAGCATAATGTAGAAACACAAATCATTTATTCCATTGAAAATAACTAATTTCGTTAACTAAAGGGAATGTACTTAAATGGTAAGATTCATTCATCAATGGAACATAATTTGATGTAATCCAGATGATAACTATTAAATTATGCTCGAATAACATTTTATTCACAACACAAAAATTCTACATTTATTCCTACATATATTCAACATATATTTCAAAAGTTAAAGGCTTATGATATTTTAACTACGACTTTGATTAGATGATGTATGTAATGTAAAAATGAAGTATAAAGAATTATAGCATTAAATATCATAAATCAAAAATAAGTAATCTCAAATAATAAATCTTAATTCTAGCACCGAATCATTCAAAGCTTTTTCACAGAAATAATATTTCACCACATTTAAATTAGTCACATGATTATTGCATAATTGTGCAATAATCGAATTGTGCATCGATGTAAATCACTAAATACTAATAAATATTATAACTGCGCATTTAAGATTTTAAACGACACTATTTACATAACATTATCCATCATATCTATAAAATTGAAGGAAAAATTATTTATGTGTACTACTGTATTTTCAAATGTTTTGATTTATAACTAGTGATATTTTTTAATAAATTTGATTTGAGTATTTTTTTATGTGAAATTAAAAACATAACTTAATTATAAAAAGATTTTATTCTAGGAAACCATTCCACAGTTATTTTACATAGAAAATTTATAGTTCTATCGGGTATTTCAAAATACATTGAAATTTTACAATTTTATCGTCGTTTTTTCTGAAAATATACTACTTCAAAATATATAACAATTATGTAAATTATCTCAACTCAAAACACAAGTCTTAATTGTAACAATCCTTATCCTTCTTTTTTACACATAAACTAGAATGATTTCTGCATTTGAAAAACATTTATTTAAATGCAGATGACCAAAGATGATTGGTAGAAACTACGATCACTGTCAAACATGTTCTTACAAGATCTCTAATTTGTTTTTCTTCTTAATTTGCTTATTTCAGGAAACTATTTTTAGGATTCGAATGAATATAGAGTTCTATTGATCAATGAAAGTAATTCTCTAATTAAAATCAAACTATTTCTTTAAAATTCCCATTCAAGTTTGAAAAAAAAACAGTTTTAAAATAAATTTAGAAAAATTTCAATTTTTTTTTTTAAATAGTATTTTTATATTCAAGGTATTAATTTTCGTAAGAAATCGGTCCCAATAACAGAAATTTATTTATTAAATTACTAAATTGCGAATTGTAATAAATGTGTGACATAAACGAACTTAAACTTACTAAAAATTAGTTTTAAGCCAATTTTTATTAATGACAGGTCTCTGCAATTTATGGGGAAAAATGAAAGAAAAAAAACCTATTGTAAAACTTTCAAAAATATTTTTTTCTTTTTTAACTATTAAAATTTGAATTTCATTTTTATTCAATTCATCATTCAATTCATCAATTTAATCGTCATTCAATTCACCGCAGTAGAAAACTATAACAACATGATTACAGTTTTTCTTATATTCCCTCAAAGAAAAATGTAAAAAGACATTTTTTAATAAAAATTTTTAACAAATGAACACACATATTTTTAAATATTTTTTTGAATTTTCACTTATTTCCTTTTACCGGAACATAAATATAACTGTGCATAAAATATATAATTTTTTTATTACAAATGATTACTGTATGATGTTTCCCGTAATGATTATATTTCCCGTAAGTTTGCCCATTACTTATTACACATATCATATCAACCAATCAAAATTAAAAATCCCACATTTAATTCATGATATATGATTATGATACTTGAGCGATTTTTAATACACACAAAGTATTTAAAAACAAAGTCATTTATTGCATCTCAACTTTCTTTATAAAGAAAAAAAATGGAAATGTGTGAAACTAGCGTGAATATTTAATTTGAAGCGAATATTTATATTTTATTACAAGCAAATTTTCATTTTAATCATGTTTTTAAACGACGCAACTTGTACGCAAACTCCTTTTAAAGTCAATACGAAATAAATTAAATAAAATATAATAATGAAGAAACATTTTTTTTTGTACAACATTATATAATCTTAGTCTACGAACTTGGTTGCATAATAGTACAGTCTACGTAAATAGAAAAATCTTTAATTTGATTAAAAATGTATTGATATCTAACTTACTTTTATTAAGATTCTCGTTTAAATTATTCAAATATATTTTATTAAATGCGTTAATTTTAAAACCTGTGAATAATAAATTAGGTTTTCTTTTTTTTTTCCTTTTCTTTTGCTTTCATGAACTTTTATGTATTTCAGAAAATTTAACAACGTTTTAAACTAAATAAAATTTTACTTATATGTGCAATATAAAGCTCATCTTTGTCATATTTTCACATTTTTAAATGATAAAAAGATTTTAAGATTCACAATTAATAAATCGTGCCGGCTGTTTTACAAGCTCTTTACATAATTTCAAAAAAAAAAATAAAGTACAGCATGCAGTGTTTTTTTCCCCTTCCTATAAAGCCTTTATTTTCCCGCGTAAATCGGAAAATTTAATGAGATTCCAAATACAATGAGATCTTTGTGAAAAAGATATTAACTCACCCGTTCCAACGATATTAACTCACTCAATGCGCGGGATCAGCAAAGAAATAAGAGGGGTGACAAGAAAGGGGGATTAAATTTGTGTTCACAAATTTTAGTCACGCCTCCGTTGCCAAAAACGGAAAACACAAGATTCTAGCAGCCATTTTAGGGGGTCGGGAACAAGGAAAAGTAGGGGTTCCGCAGGAAAAGCGTGCTAATACCCTGCTTACCGTAAGACCCCTGCGCGAGGTCTTCACTGCTCTGCGCCGAAATCTCGAACACGTGCATCTCATTGAGTTCAGTGACCGTCAGCCATGGCTATGGAATTTAAAAAATAGTGTCGCCATCTGCTGAATATTTCAACAAATATTTTCAGACATCATGAACTTATTGAAATTCCTTTTTCTCAATGGATATAATAAAATGATTTTGTATTTTCGACCTCCACCTATCAGCTAATTATCCCAATCCATGAAATTCTAAGAAAGACATTTCAAGTAAGAGCACTCAAAATTAATATAGCCCAGATGATTTTGTATTAACAATCACAATCTATCAGCAAATAAACATAATCCAAGAAATTCTGAGAACGTTATTTCAAATAAGAGCGCTAAAAATTAACATCTCCCATAAAGATTTTGTATTTACATTTACAACCACAGTCTATCAGTTATTTATCGCAATCCACGAAATTCTATGAGCGTATTTCAAATAAGAGCACTCAAAATTAACATTTTCCATAATGATTTTATATTTACAACCATAATATATCAGTTAATTATCACAATCTGTGAAATTCTAAGAACGTTATTTCGAAGTAGAGCACCCATAAGTTTCCTTGGAAGATCATATCTTCCAAGGAAATAAGTAAATTGGAAATTAGCAGATCAGAATGCCTCGATGTTAGTCAACTCATCAATATAAGGTTTAAAAAGCAGTTCAGCACTAAATTTTTTGTACAAGAGCTCAATTCAGACATGAAAAAATTTCATAAGAGAATAACAAACATAATAGTATATAAAATAATTGAAAAATAAAATATCACGAAGCACATTTTTTTTTCAATAATTCCTCCAATATTGAATGAATACGAATTTGAAAATTAAAACTGAAAATAATTGAAATGATACAATGAATGAAAATTTATGGAAGGAATTTTTATGCTGTAAACATAAGTACTTTTACTTTGAAAAGTATATGGTTTGGAGAATATAACGCAATTCGCCTAAGTAGTTCAAAGGGGGCGAATGAAAATATTTAGAAGAACTCTAATCGAATCTTGGCCTACAAAGACTTGATCGTTGATAGCCAAGATTCGAATGAACAAAAAAAAATAAAAAATTAAACAAAATCCACTTATTTGAGTTTTTTCACTGTTCATCACTCATAAATTTTACTTCAAATAAAATTATTAACATTTTAATAATTTTATAATCTATACATAATAGATATTAAGTTTTGTTCAAATCATTTTTTTTAAGCAAATTTGCAAGGTAATAAATCCTTATTTTAAATACATATGTCTCAAAACATAATTTCAATGAAATTAAAATTTTCTTTATTAACAAATTTGCAAAGTATTGAATTATTATTTTAAGGGCACATGACAAAAAACAAGTTCTTTTTTTATTTTTATCTAACATGGGATTTACACTAAAAATTTAATTGATACAATTTAAATTGTACAAAGACTTAATTATTAAAATTTCCTGAAAAAATGCAAAAATAATTTTTTTAAATAAATATCAAAAATAATTCATTCTTGTGTTGATCATATAAAAGTTAGACATAAAATAGTTTTTATGTTCTCTATAATTCGCAAGTTTATATATACTTTTTTTTTTAATCAAAATTGCTGAGCAAATTTCATGCTCAAGACATAAAATTCATTCTAAGTTTACAATAATAGGCCTAATTGTTTTTTTTTTTAAATTTAATTTAATTTTTTTTTTTTTTTTAAATAGGAAAAGTATTTGAAACACACTGTATAATAAGCATTGCAAAACTGTCAGCCAGGATAAATTGACTTATTCTTCAAATAAATTAATATGAATGGTACCCCGTTATAAATGTAAAGTTATAACAAGATATTTATTCCAATAATATGTTACATATACATGTACCACCTTGGCATGCAAAGATTTAGCCGATGTAGATGCAGAAAGAAAAAAAAATTAAAGTAAAGGATAAGTCTCCGAGAATCTTCCAGATGGAGCCACTACTCATAGATGAAAAGTAAACATCTTTAACAAACATATTTGAAAATATTTTTGTTAACAAAATTTGCCAATGACATGATTAAAGGACGGATGAGGAAAATGAAATCAAACTTGCTGGCTGGTGCGAAACATTCACGTCATAAAAACTTAAATCGATAAATGATTTAACTCGTTTTGCAATAAAATTTTATTACTTCGAAAATGGATTTATTCAGTCTTATTTCTATTGTTATAACTAATTCAATGTTATCACAAATTTATTCCTATTAGGAATTATTCAATGTTATCATATCATAACTTTCCCTTATAACCAAATAATTCATTGGATAATTATTGTCTGAAAGAGTTAAAACTAAATATAGCAGCAAGCAGAAAAGGTATCTTAAATGTAATAAAATAAAAAATCTTTATCGTTAAGAAATGAAACAGTGACGACGAATTAAAGGAAATTGACACATTTATCCTCATTGATTACAAAAACAATTAGAAATTTAGACTATAAAATTAAATAGCACTATTATTATTTCGGTGCTATTTCTATTCCGTCTATTGAAAATGGACAAATATACCTCTAGATTGTAATGTTACTACATAGACCTTTTTTCGGGATTTTTTGCATTAACAATTCAAAGAAATATTTATTTATTTATTTTAAACCGTTATGACCATATTCTTTATATAAAAAAAATTACAAAAATATAAACAAAATGCAGCATATGTAAACAAAAGAAAAATTGGAGCGTTATGTTGACATTTGGTGATAAAAATAAAAAAGCAGCATAATACAGTAAATTATAATACGTTCATTTAATACTGCTTCCCAAGTGGAAAATTCATATCCAACTAAATATTCAACATCTAAGCATCAATTACAATATTTTCAGCAAAAAAGAAACAAAAAAGAAAAAAAAGTAAAACTGGTTTGCATGTAATAATCTGAAATAGTAAAAATTTTTAAAAATTATATTTCGAAAAACTAAAACATTTAATCAATAACTTATTTTAAGAAACTTATTTTTATCAGATATTATAGTTTTCAAAATAAAATTAATAGAAAGTGTAATTAAAATGTAGAACAGAACGTTAACAAACAAAACGTTATCAAAAAAGTAAAAAAAAAAATATTTTTATTCAAATACCACCGAAGCAGAATTAACATTATTTTTAATAAAAAAATACTCAATTAATACATTAAATTTTTTATTAATTATGTCCCTAACTTCTGAAAAATTTTCAGCAGTTTAATATGCATACATTTAGTTAGAGGAAGTGTTATTTGACTACAGCATTGACTTTACATTGATATTTTTATTTACTATTTTTTTTACTGGATTCAAACGCTTACTTAGCAAGCACTATTAAATGCATTTTAAGTCCTAATTTAAATATTAATTAAACGTCCTAGCGATAGCACTGAAACAGAATTAATCTCCTAAACCGTTAAACTGCCTTAACCGTAGGGGCCTTGAAAACTAGGTGGTCCCGCTTACAAATGTATATTAAGGCCACATTAAAATTAAATAAATTAGATACTATACAACAAATGAAAACCTATTTAGTATACCTTCAAGATAAATAAATAATCAAAATTAAAAATCAGTAAATAAAATAAATAAGTAATTCAATTAATCAAAATTTTAAAAAAATTAACGTACATATATTTACCTNGACCTTTTTTCGGGATTTTTTGCATTGGTTTGCATTAACAATTCAAAGAAATATTTATTTCTTTTAATAAAATTTTCTTTTAAACCGTTATAAGCATCTTTTTTATAAAAAAAATTACAAAAATATAAACAAAATGCAGCATATGTAAACAAAAGGAAAATTGGAGCGTTCTGTTGACATTTCGTGATAAAAATAAAAAAACAGCATAATACAGTAAATTATAATACGTTCATTTAATACTGCTTCCCAAGAGGTAAATTCTTATCCAACTAAATATTCAACATCTAAGCATCAATTACAATATTTTCAGGAAAAAAGAAACAAAACAAAAAAAGAAAGAAAGAAAAAGTAAAACTGGTTTGCATGAAATAATTTTAAATAGTGAAAATCTTTAAAATTATATTTCGAAAAACTAAAACATTTAACCAATAACTTATTTTAAGAAACTTTTTTTCTATCAGATATTATAGTTTTTAAAATAAAATTAATAACAAGTGTAATTAAAATGTAGTGACATTTTAGACAAGAGAAAATTATCAAAAAAAGTTTCAAAAAAATCTTTTTATTGTAATACCACCGAAGCAGAATTAACATTATTTTTAAAAACAAAATACTCAATTAATTCATTTAATTTTTTATTAATTATGTCCCTAACTTCTTAACAATATTCAGCAGTTTAATATGCATACATTTAGTTAGAGGAAGTGTTATTTGACTACAGCATTGACTTTACATTGATATTTTTATTTACTATTTTTTTTACTGGATTCAAACGCTTACTTAGCAAGCACTATTAAATGCATTTTAAGTCCTAATTTAAATATTAATTAAACGTCCTAGCGATAGCACTGAAACAGAATTAATCTCCTAAACCGTTAAACTGCCTTAACCGTAGGGGCCTTGAAAACTAGGTGGTCCCGCTTAAAAATGTATATTAAGGCCACATTAAAATTAAATAAATTAGATACTATACAACAAATGAAAACCTATTTAGTATACCTTCAAGATAAATAAATAATCAAAATTAAAAATCAGTAAATAAAATAAATAAGTAATTCAATTAATCAAAATTTTAAAAAAATTAACGTACATATATTTACCTCGTAAAACTAAATTAAAACAACAAAATTCAAAAATTCAGAAAAACATTACATTAACAATTCAAAATAAAATACTTAACTAGAACGGGACGGTGCCTCTTAACTGTCTTGTTTTTAATGTTTATATTTACCCCATACAGAAAATATTTATTTTAAGCCATGTTTATATTTACCCCATATAGAAAAGGTTCAACCAGTTCTATTATGTAACAAACTATGTTTTAAGTATATTTGAGAAAGGGAAAACTCCTTCGCAAGCCTCAGAAACGGTTTTTGTTTATGTTTACATTTATAGCAAAGATGAGGCCTTTATGAGGAAAATATTTAAGTTTTGGCTTTAAGCTCGGTTAACAGTTAACTTAACTACGTCACCAAATGAAAAGTTAGGTAGTTGTTCACTATA